TCCAACAATAGGAAACGCATATTATCATCACTATAATCTTGATTATTATTATTATTATTATTACAATGATTAACCAATGCATCTAGTACAGTTTTATTTGAATAAATTAAATACAAAAATTGTAAACTAGCTAATTTCCATTTATCAATTAGGCCGCACTCGATACCGGTGCTTAAACTACACAATAAAAACAAAACATATTTAATAATAAATATATTTAGTTTTTTTATAAAAAAAAATTAAATAATGTATTAGTTAATATATATATATATATATATATTAGGAATTAAGTTTAATAATAATTTTTTATTTAAAAAATAAATTGATATAAAAATTAGTTATATAATAGGCAGCACTCAATACCTGTCCTCAATCTATAATAATAATTATATAATTAATTAATTAATTAAAATAATGGTTACATATTTTTTTAATCATAGTATATTATAAATTAAATTAATTTTTTAAAAATATTTTAAAATAAATTGATATAAAAATTACTTATATAATAGGCTGCACTCAATACCTGTCCTCAATCTATAATCATTAGTTATATATAATTAATTAATTAATTAATTAATTAAAATAATGGTAACATATTTTTTTAATCCTATTATATTATTAATTAATTAATTTTTTAAAAAAAATTTTAAAACAAATTGATATAAAAAAATTAGTTATTGTATTACATTTGATGAAAATTATTGATAACCATAGGATCGGTATATCTATTATAGACATAACCGTAGATACGATTGAAATAGGATTCMCGGGATTTGTGTAATATTCGGGAAAATAATTCCGGTTTTAATTTCATAATCAATTCAATATCATTATGAGATCCTAATAAAACTGTAGTCTTATTGTTGACCAGTTTTTCAATAATTGTATTAATTTCCAAAATAAATTGATTGTTATTATAATTTAAATAATTTTTGCCATTTAATAATGCATTTTTAATTAGATTTTTTTCGATATCTAAACCTTTAAACTGAAAAAAAAAAATAAAATAAATAGTAATAAAATAATTAATTACTAATCGATGAAATAAAAGTAATTAATTATTTTTTATATATAAATAAATAATTTGTTAAAGCAATTGTAAAATAATAATTTTAGTTTTTAATTACAAATAATTATATATTAGTAATTAATTATTTTATTTTTTAGTTTAAARGTTTAAATATCGAAAAAATAATAACTAAAAAATTATTAATTTTACAATTGTTTTAACAAATTATTTATWTATATATATAAAATTTTTTTTAATTACTTTTATTTCATCGATATCTGATTCAAACATAAATAATTTTGGTTTGATTTTAGGTCTAATTAACAGATCGTCTAATGTATCGATAAAACTATAAGGGCTTAAAATTTTTGTCGATAATATCATCTGATTATATATAGTTAGCCAGATCACTTTGCTTATTAAAATTAAGCCAGTTATTAATAAATATTTATTAACCATATTAGTTGTTAAAGCTAGATTATTTTTTAAAAAAAATTAATATTAAACATTATAATTAAAAAATTTACAATTTAATATATAAATTAAAAAKTAAATATAAATTAAATATAAATTATAACATTAAATTTTAAATTAAAAAAATATAAATAAAAATAAATAAAATAATATAAATTAAATTAAATTAAATWWAAATATATAAATTATAAATTAAATATAAATTATATATATAAATTAAATATAAATTTACATTGTACAAACATTATGTTCCAAGTTATCCAAAAATTTTCAAATAATAATTGAATTTTTTTATATAAAGATTGCTTTAGTCTATAGAAAATTATAACAAAATTATTTAATTGAAAATTATTTATAGAATAATAACTTGCAATTAATAATTAAAAATTATAAAAAAATATATATATATTTAAAAAAATTAATACCTATTATCAAATTTTCCATTGTATTGATATATGGATACAACCATAAATGTTATAAACAAACATAACCAAATCTTAAATATTAAAAATTTTAATTTAAATAAAATTTATAAATAAATAATTTTTTTTAAAAAATAAATAAACATTTTAATTAATATTTTCAAACATGCGTCCCATTCAACTGATTGATTATTATTTGTATAATAAGCGCCTAATATACTGATCGATGATTGAATTTTGGCCACCGATTGGCCGGCAAACGAGCCGATCATCGGTGTTAACGGGTATTCATCGACCAGAATGTTAACAATCTTTGTTTGTCCGGAATATATACACAGAAAAAACAATTAATAATTAATTTTTTTTAATTAAATAAATAAATCATTAATTTTTTATAATCTAAAAAAAAAATTTTATATTGATATTATGTATTTAATATTATGCTATAATTACTGAGTTATATTACTTTAGTATTATAATTATAGTTATATTTGTTTTTTATAGTTAAAAGATAGACTAATTTAAAAAAAAAATTGTTTAATTAGACTATTGAAAATTATTTTATTTATTAAATACTATTTATCTAAAATTAAGTATTAATTTTTTCTATAGAAATATAAATTAATAGTAAATTATGTCAATAATAAATATTTATATATATATATAATATTTTTACAGTATATAAATTTCATCGACTACTACGTCCACAAAAAAATAATTATTAAATTAATTTTTTTCTGAATATATAAATAAAAAAAATATATATTTTTAAAATTTTTTGCTAATAAATATTTTTTTAGTATAAATAAATAAATTTATTTAAAAAAAATTACTTACATTTTGATAAATATAGTTTAGCTGAGGTTTAGCCACAGTTTCATAATCATCTAATACTAGATATTCACGATGATCGACAATTACAGGCAATGCACTTTATATATGACAACAACAACAAAAAATGTATTGTAATTAAAAAATATGTTTGTTATCCAAAAAAAAAATAATAATAAAAAATTTAAATAAAATTTTTGTTACCCATATTGAGTGCGCCTAACCAGCTCTTTAGTTACGAAAAATAATGGTCCGCATAATATTTTAAAATTAACTTTAGTTAACTAAATTATTAATTAATTAGTTAATTAATTAATTATTTTCATCAACAAAAAAAATTATTTATTTCTAGACAACTATTATTATTATTATTATTATAAAACTATATTAGTCTTTAATTAGTTTTGTTTTGAAATTAAACAAAATAATTACTAGTTTTTTTTAACAAAAACAATAATAATATTAATTAATTAATTATTTTCATCAAAAAAATTTATTTAATTCTAGATAACTATTTTTAGTATTATTATTATTATTATGTTTATAAAACTATACTATATTAGTATATAATTAGTTTGTTTTGAAATTAAACAAAATAATTAAATTTTTAACATCAATAATAATAATAATATTTATTAATTAAATTATTTTCATCAAAAATATTTTATTTAATTCTAGACTACTAGTTATAACAAATTATTATTATTACTATTATTATTGTATTATTATAAAACTATACTATAATTAGTTAATAATATTTTTAAACTATTTTTTTTAAACAAAATAATTACTAAATTTTTAGTAATAATAATAATTATTATTTTTTTTACTAACAAAGTCAGCGCAGGTAAACGTAAAGTTGCCTTTCGGTACAAAATCATAGCCAAACAGTTTAGGTATGTCCTCCTCATAGGTAATCGACAAATCGCACTCAAAATTAGACAACTTGGCTATTGATAACATTATTTATTTATTTTTTTGAATTATTGTATCTAAAATATTTGAATTTTAATGAATCAGATTTTTTATCAAAAAAAAAACTAAATTGATTATTTATATTAAAACTTTTAAGTAAAATAATTTTATTAAGAATAATAATAATAATTTTCTTATAATAAATTTAATTTTATAAAAAAAATTATTATTTATTTAGTTGTTTTTTTAGAAATATAAATTACTTTTTAAATTACTTTTATATATAAAAATACTATTAAAAAAAACTATTGTCAACTAAATTATATATTGATTGTTATTTGTTAATATTATTAACATTACTAAGACTAATATATAATTATTTTTCTTAACCAACAAAAAATCAATAAAATATGAAAAAATATAGTTAATTACTATAAAATTATAATGTAAAACAAATTTATATTCAATAAATAACAATTTATATTTGTGTGCCATTTTTCTCACAATTACTGTAACAAACATTATATATAATTAAATATTATTATAAACTAATTATTATAAAAAAAAAATTTGTAATTAAATTTTCAAATTAATTGTTTTATAATATTTTGATATTATTTCGATAATGTTTAGATAGATTGAAAATATAAGTTTTTTTAAAAAAATAAAATAAATTGTTTTTTAATTTTATAACAAAAGTTTTAATATAATTATTAGAAAAATTATTTTCAATCTCTTTAGTCTAATTTGTTTTTTTAAATAAAAATTAAAAGATAATTAAAATTAATTAATTGATTGATTGCTTAATAAATAAACATACTATACATATAATTTCAACATTATTTTAGTTATTTATGTAAATTTATTATTAATAATTTATAATCATAAATTTAATTTTATTTATTTTTTTGGTATATAAACATTTAGACTGTATATGATTTTTTTAATTAATTAAAAAATACAATTAAATATACTATATGTATGTTAGTTACTATGCAAATTTAATGCATTTTTAACTAAAAAAACAAAAATAAAATATTTATCCTTGAAAATATATTAATATATATATATATATATATAGATTAATACATTGATAATTTACTTAATAATAAAAATTCAATGTCAATGAATTTTGTTGTTATCTATAATATATACACATTAAAAAAAATTATTATATCTATACTAAAGTAAATTGAATTTAAAAATGTAATTAATATATATATACACAATAWATATATATATTTTTTAAACTAAATTAAATATATATATATATATAAAAAATAATATTTTAATTATAGAATATTTGTCGGAAAAAAAATTTAATATAATTTTTTTTAATTAAATAAAATTTTTTAAAAAATATGTCACGATTTGATTGTGTAGACGATGGCCAACCGCTTGAATTTTTTCAACTACTCGATGCCCATCAGTCGGACCSGTCACCCGATAAGGTCAACCTGATTATCGGCGGTAATCATAATCATTAAATTAAAATAAAATATTTTTAAAAAATTTATTTATGTAAACTCTAAAACAGTTTACCGTACAAATAATGGCCAGCCATGGATATTGCCGGTTGTCCAGAGTGCCGAACTGGCCATCATCGCCGACTCGGCCAACAATCATGAATATCTGGGACTACTAGGCGATCGACAATTTACAAAATTATCGACAAAATTATTGTTAGGCGAAAATAGTCGAGCTATTCAAGAAAATAGAGTAATTATAATATATATATATATATATATATATATATATATATATATATATWTTTGAATATATATATATATATATTTTTGAATATATATATATATATATTTWTTTTTTGAATATATATATATATTTTTTTTGAATATATATTTTTTTGAATATATATTTTTTTTTTATATATATATTTTTTTTGAATATATATATATTTTTTTTTAAATTTATTTTTTGTAGACATTTGGTTGTCAAGGTTTATCGGGAACGGGATGTTTGCGATTGGGTGCAGATTTTTTATCGAAAAAATGCGGTTTCAAACTATTATATATAACTGATCCAGCATATGGTTAGTACTGTGTAATAATTAATAATAATTTAGTTAATAACAAACAAAAAAAAACTATATTAAGATTTTAATTAATTAATTAATACATTAATATTATTGTTAATTAAATTATATTAAATATAACTTTTTGTTTTGTTTGTTGTGAATATAAAAATTAATTTTTTTATTAATGATTTTAATATCAATTCAAAAATATAATAATTGACTTTTTATACATCAAAAAAAATATTTAAATTTTAATTAATTAATTAATTACAGTAATAATAATAATACATTAATTTTATTGTTAATTACACTATATTAAATATAACTTTTAAAAATTAATTTTATATAGTAATCATTATAATTACGATTAAAAAAAATATATAATTGACTTTTTTATATATATATAAATCAAAAAATATTTATTTTAATTTATTATTTTTTTTTTGATATATTTTTTTCTGTGTGCAGACAATCATCGGTTGATATTTACGTCCGCGGGTTTCGATGTCCGCAGCTATCGATACTACGATACCGGGAACCGTCGCCTGGACTTTGACGGCCTAATCCATGACCTGAGTCGGGCACCGGTTGATTCGGTAGTCGTATTGCATGCCTGTGCACACAATCCTACCGGTATGGATCCGACCCGTGACCAGTGGACACAGATTGCCGATTTGATGTCCGAGCGCCGATTGTTTCCCCTATTTGACTGCGCCTACCAGGGCTTTGCATCGGGCAATCCCGATACGGATGCCTGGAGTGTACGGTATTTTGCGGATAGAGGTTTTGAGTTGTTATGTGCCCAGAGTTTTGCCAAAAATTTCGGACTTTACGGTAATTTATACAAAAAAAGTATTAAAAAAATTTATATAATATAAGGTATATTCAATATATTTAACCAAAAAAAAAAAAATTGATAATTAGGTGAACGTATTGGCAACTTAACAGTTGTATTGAATTCAAGTCAAAACATCAATAAACTACAGTCTCAACTATCACTGATAGTTAGAGCTAACTATAGGTATGTCTAATATATATACTGTATATATACTATATATATATACTGTCAAATAAAATAAAAAGTTTTTTTTTAAAAATAAATAAATAAATATTTAATAGTTTTTTTGGTTGCTTTTATTTTTGTTTTTTTTTTTGAAACCAAACAGTAGTCCATCAATGCATGGCTCAAAAATTGTTAGCAAAATTTTATCAGATCCTAAACTAACTGAGGAATGGTATGTATTATATAAAATAAGTTAAATTATAAACTAATTAATAGTTATTATTATTATTATTATTATTTTTCCACACAAAAGGCATGATTGCATCCAAACAATGTCCGCACGTATACTAAATGTTAGGCAATTGTTGCGCGAAAAACTGGAACAATTGAAAACTCCGGGCAATTGGTCGCACATTACCGAACAGATCGGTATGTTTTCCTACAGTGGCCTAACCGGTGATCAGGTGCTTAGGTTGCGCCATAAGTTTCATATCTATATGCCTCGTAACGGCCGAATCAGTTTGAGCGGACTGACCACCGATAATGTTGACTATGTGGCCAAAGCCATCAACAATGTTATAGTTAATCAATAATAATAATAATAATCTTAACAATCAATTAATTTGATGATAATATTTAAATTATATTGAATTTTAATGTCAGTGAAAAAAATAATAGTTTTTTTTAAAAAAAAATTTTAAATAAAAATTATTTAAATAAAAGTTATTTAAATAAAAGTTATTTAAATAAAAGTTATTTAAATAAAAGTTATTTAAATAAAAGTTATTTAAATAAAAGTTATTTAAATAAAAGTTATATAAATAAGTTATATAAATAAGTTATATAAATAAAAGTTATATAAATAAAAGTTGTTATATAAATAAAAGTTGTTATATAAATAAAAGTTGTTATATAAATAAAAGTTATATAAATAATACTAAAAATTTAGAAATACAGTAATATTATACACTATATAATGATTATTAAACTAATTTTATAAAAAATAAAATAATTATTTTTTTTAAATAATATTTATTTTAAAGTTTATAAGTTTATAAGTTAAAGCTATAATAACTTTATTTTTTTAAATGATTAAAAAAGTATACTTTATTAAAATAAAAAGTGTTAATTAAAAATCACTATATTAAATTTATTTATTTATTAATTATTATTATTATTATTATTAAACTTTTAAGTAGAATAAGTATAATAAATATCAACTACAGTAATAACTCGATATAAATTACAATTAAATGTATTTTATTATTATTATTAGACATAAATAAGTAATTATATTATGTTATATAGTATTAATAGATAACTGATTTATAATGAAATAATAATTTTGTTTTATTGAAAAATATTGTGTAAGTATTACTACAATTTTATTATTATTATTAAAAAAAACAGGTATTAATTATTTTTGAATTAATTCGGTGGCCGGAAAAGTCGGTTGCGACCGCAGTATACCGCCGTCGACAGGCATTATATGTCCGGTAATCCACGGGGCTGTCCGTTCGGAGGCCAAAAATACTACGGCTTCGGCCACATCATCGGGTCGRCCGATACGTCCTAACGGATAGATTTGTTGGACATTCGACTCAATTTTGGCCAAATGTTCGGCTCCGCCATCGAATCGGTCAAAAATCGGTGTCCGAACTGTGGCCGGACTATTGAGAATAATAATAATAACCATAATTACCGATAAATTATATATATATATATATATATGCTATATATATAWGCTACAGTATATATATATGCTATATATATATGCTATATATATATATGCTATATATATATGCTATATATATATGCTATATATATATGCTATATATATATGCTATATATATATGCTATATATATGCTATATATATATAGTATATTACTTACTTAACACTATTAACCCGTACGCCTAACGGTGCCAGATTCAGGGCCAAACATTTGGTAAACATATCCAATGCCGATTTGGCCATACAGTAGGCCATGGCTGCCGAAGTTGCCGTCGGCTTGAGTCCGGCCACACTCGATATATTAACAATATTGCCATTGGTTTCGGTCAGATAGGGGACGAACAGTCGGGTCAACAGTTGAACACTTCGGACATTTGTTTGCATAACACAGTCATAATCGGCAATATATTTCTGATCGTCAAACGATACCCGACCGCCGCCGGACACTACACCGGCATTGTTGACCAAAATGTCGATCCGCCGGAACTCGGCTACAGTTTTCCGATGAAGTTCCGAGATATCCGAGTCCAGCAATAGGTCAGCCCTAATACCGATAGCTCGTTGGTGTTGTTGTCGGCGGGAAATGGACAGACATTTATTGACCACAGAGTCGATACGTGTCTGATCTCTACCAGTGATGACAACACTGGCACCCAATGTATATAATTTTAAGGCAATAGCTTCTCCTAATCCAGAGGACGATCCTATTATTATTTTTTTTAAATATAAAAAAATAATAATTTTTTAGATATTATATTATAATTATTGTAAAAAAAGTTTTTAATTACCTGTAATTAAGGCTACTTTTCCAGTAAACTCCATATTATTTTAAAAATATTTTATTAAAAAAAAATATTTAATAAAATTTACAAAATTAAAAATAATTATATGTTGAAAAAATTTTAATAATTTATATATTGATGAATAATTACAGTCTATTTATATATTATGTCTTTTTGTTTAAAAAAAATGTACTAAAAAGCACTTAACAAATAAAAATAATTTTATCAAAAAAACATAAGTTTTTATTAGTACATTATATACTATTTTATTTATATACAAAATGTACTTGATAGTGTATTGAATATTTTAGTACAATTTTTAAGTATATATAAATATATTACTAAATGAACTAAAATTTTATAATAAAAAAAATCTAAAAAATGTTCAAATTTTTAAAATCACAAAAATATTTAAAAAAAAATTATTTCTATATAATTACAATTTTTAGAAATTATACATTTTTAATTATAATTTTTTAATAAATAAATAAATCTATTTATTTTTTAATTAGTAATTTGAATAAATTTTGAAATTTATTTTATGATTTCGTCTAGCACAAAATTGATACAGGTCACTATTATTATTAGTAATTTTATTAATTATTTTAGTATGTCTAAAATTTTTGTTATTATTATTATTAGTAATTTTAATAATTTTTTTAGTATGCTTAACAACTTTGTTATTATTATTATTAAATTTTTAACTATTTTTGAATGACAATTAAATTTGGAAAAAATATTTACTAATTTTTCTGCCAGAAAAACAATTGATGCCAWAGTTAGACCCAGTAATAGAGGACAGGTAGCTGTTTTCATTTCGTCTAATATAAACAATGTATTATATTGATTATCTTGTTCATTTTCACCCAATTCATCTAGCTGATTTTTATTTGAATATAATAAATAGGTATATTGTAGGCCAGTTATCTTCCACTTATCAATTAGGCCGCACTCGATACCTGTCCTCAATCTATATAAGATTGTTAAATATAGTTAATATAGAAAAAATAACAATTATGATTACATATATTTTTTTTATCTATTTATTATATATTTAATTAATTAATAAAAATAATTGTTAAAAATATTTTTATAATAGTAATATATATTAGAAATTAAGATTTAAAAATTATTTTTTAAAAAAAAACAAATTTTTAAAACAAATTAGTATTACATTTGATGAAAATGTTTGATCACCAGTGGATCGGTATATCGATTATAGACATAACCATAGATACGATTGAAATAGGATTCACGGGATTTATGTAATATTCGGGAAAATAATTCCGGTTTTAATTTCATACAAATATCGATATCATTATCGGTTCCCAACACAACATGTGTCTTATTGTTGACAATAAATCTAATGATTTTATTGATTTCCGTAAAAAATTTTGTATTATCATAATTTAAATAACTTTTGCCCATTAATAATGCATTTTCGATAACTTTTTTTTCAATTTCCAAACCTTTATACTAAAATCAAATAATAATAATAATAATAATTTCATTTATAATTATTTACCTATAATTAAACATTATTTTTTATATTACTTTAGTTTATTAATTTAAAAATTATTAAATAATTAAATTTAATATACTTAATTTTTTTTAAATAAAAATATCTTATGTTAAATTTTGTTATTTTTAATTTCAAAATAACTAAATCTATTACTATCTAAGCATATACTAAATACTAAAGATATATTGAATACTAAATATATATTAAATACTAAATATATACTAAATACTAAAGATATATTAAATACTAAATATTAATATATATTAAATACTAAATATTAATATATATTAAATACTAAATATTAATATATATTAAATACTAAATATTAATATATATTAAATACTAAATATTAATATATATTAAATACTAAATATTAATATATATTAAATACTAAATATTAATATATATTAAATACTAAATATTAATATATATTAAATACTAAATATTAATATATATTAAATACTAAATATTAATATATATTAAATACTAAATATTAATATATATTAAATACTAAATATTAATATATATTAAATACTAAATAAATGCTAAATAAATATATATTACTCTTATTTCATCGATTTCAGCCGAAACCATCAATAGTCTAGGATTCAGATTAGGCATATCTATTAGGTTGTCCAATGTGTCCACCACTTTATATGGCTTATTAATTTTGATGGATAATATCAATTGATTATATAGTATAAGCCATATTAGTTTGCTCAGTATAATTAGGCCAGTCATACATAAATATCTATTGTTGATCAGTTTATAATTGAAAGCTATGATTGAAAAAATTATTAGTTTATTTAATATTTTAAAAAATTATTAGTTTTAAAAAATTATTATTTTTTTTTAAAAAAATTATAACTATTAATAAAAAAAATTATTAAATAAATAAATATATACATTGCACAAACATTATGTTTAATGTTATCCAACATTGTTGATATAATATTTTATGATATTGTTTATTATTATTTTTGTTAATTGATAATCTAGCAATTAATAAAACAAATTATAATAATTATTATTATACTAATTATTATATTAATAATAAATTACTAAATTTTTTTATATACCTATTATTATTGTTATTATTATATTTGTTGTTTGAATAAATTATTTCCAATGATAAATATATTGATACAATTGTAAAAACGGCAATCAAACATAACCAAATCTATATATTAATATATAGTATTTAAATAAATTAATAAAATTATTATTGTTGTTAATAATATATATAATTATTTCTATAATATATTAGTAATTCAATTGATATTATAATAATATAATATAATAAAAATCAATAATTTTTTAATTAATAATAATAACATTTCTATCAAATATATCTAGAGATGAATCCCAATCAACCGATTCGTTATTTGTATAATAAGCGCCTAATATACTGATCGCGGCATCAATTTTGGCCACCGATTGGCCGGCAAACGAGCCGATCATCGGTGTTAACGGGTATTCATCGACCAGAATGTTAACAATCTTTGTTTGTCCGGAATATAAAAAAACAATTAATAATTATTTTATTTATTATAAATAAATCATTAATTTTTTTATAATTTTAAAAATTCATACTTTATATTGATATTATGTAATTAATGTTG